TCCAAAAAGGTTCGAGGCATTGCCTTCTCTAATGTACCGATACTTCAAAAGTCAGGAAAGAAGAATTTTGTGACTATACACTCTAGCAAGTTGAGCTAGAGCGATATAAGCTCTTCTGCAGCTTGAAGCTTAAGGTTTGAATATGTATATGAGGTTGGATTCAACAAGCCTAAACATGGCCGTTTACTCAATAAGCCATAAGAAAGGTCGTAATAGCGGAACCCCCATTTCGTCAATCCATATGTAGGGACTATAAGAAGCATAAAGGCTTATCTAGCTATAGCCCACGAAATTCTCCTAATTGACCAGAGAGTCAAAGTTATAGTGGGAATGAACAAATCTCAATCAAAATAGTTATTGAATACTTGTAAGCTCTGAAATCTTGAACTCGAAGGATGACTTCAAATCTGCAACTTCAACAAATGTAGCTTGGGGAGCTCGTTTATCCACAGCTCAAGTCTAAAGCGTGAACGGGCATATAAGGTTGGATTCAATAGGTCAATATGCGACTGAATCGCTTGCAGCTCCATCTACTCAACAAGCCATAAGAAAGACCGTAATAGAAGAACCCCTGTTTCAATAGTCTGATGACAAAGAGCTGTCAAATCCTAGCTCGCCCGATCTGATGAGTTCAAGTAATCCAGATTGAAGTCTTCTCAACTGGTTAAGAGTCAAAGTATTACCTATGTTTAGACTACTGAAATATATAAACTCTTCAAGAAATTCGTCAAAGCACAAAGTAAAAGATCGAAGAAATTATCCTAAAGTTCACACAAAGCATAAGGCTGAATTCAAAGGATATACATCATCAACAAGTTTGCTACGCACAAAGCTTTGGATCGATAACCCTTCACCAAGGCTGAATACTCATTCGTCAAGCTCGCCAAAGCAAGAAGCAGGGGGCTGAAGGTACATAAATTTTCTAACAAGTCAATAAGGACAAATCAATCAATCCTTCACCAATGTTTGCCGCACAAGGCAATAGACAAGAGGAGCCAAAGCCTCATAACTCAAGTTAAAGTTGTGAAAAGAATACAACGGCTGACTTTAACATGTGTTTAAAGCCATGAGCACAACAATAATAGAAGTCACAAGAGCATAAAGAAAAGAAGAGCTCGTGAATATCCAAAAGCGAACAATGCTTTATTTTATTAATTTAAAATTTTTATACAAATTTGAATTACATCTTTTCGCATGTTTACATCAGCAAAGAAAAGGTATAATGTGCTTCACAAATGACTAAAGTCTATCCCCCAAAATTTATGCCTGAAGAGGAAGTCGACAACTCCGCTCTGTCTTTCCAAATACTAGGTACGCTGCACTTTTGGGACATACAAAAAGTAACAGAAGCATCAACAAAAAGAAAAGAGAAAGACTATGCAAGTGTATGTAAAGCTATAAAAAGAAATGTGTACGTGAACCGGGGTCTCTTGTAGTAGCTAACCAACTAGTGTCTCATTTCTCCTAGGACCTATGTAGAGCAACATGAGAACTAGTAAAACAATCAAAAAAGAAGTGCACAAACTAAAAAAGAAAAAAAGAGCATACCTGAGCTGAGGCCTCTCACAATGGCTGGCTAGCTGATATCATGCTCATCTGAATCATGCACAAGTGATGAATCATTGGTGGTATGAATATAAAGTAAGAACTAAGAAAAAAAGAAGAAGATGGTGTAACTAGCCTGAAGGCAACTGCAGAAAAGATGAGGCAGCGAAGTCTTGCTAGCTGGTAAATCTGCAAAGCTCAGACAAATTTTGAACCAAACCTACAATTATATAATACAAATATTATATTTACATATGATTGCATCAAAGATAAATATTGAACATATGCAAAGATGCTGGAAACTAAAATAATAGTGGTGTTAGAAGAGAACAAGAGGTGGCAATGCTATCTACTAGCATCTATCTACAAAGTAATGCCCTAAGAACCCAAGTATGGTATAAAAGCTTTTAAGTTCTAAGATGGGAAAACCTTCAGAAGAAGGGTGTGATTTTTAAGGGACAATAATGAATGGAAGGATTAAAATTCAATTTGCATGAATGATGAAGATGAATTATGATATATCTGGTCAATGCATGTTATAAATTGAAGTAGTCTAATTATTTAGGTTATTTAATCATGTTTTCTTTATACTTTCTTTAAGATAATTCATTTACCATTTTGCAACTGGAAATGTTTCGAATCTTAAAAATTGATTATTTCATCGAACATGGAATATTATAGTTATCATTTTTGAAAGTCCTCGTAATTTAAATAGTTGAATTTAGAGAAACCACTATTTTCTTTTCAGCACCTTTTCTTGGGCAAGTGTCTACTATGTTGCCTATTGACTTGGATTTTGAGCATCCATATCACCTTGAGGTTGCACTTTTGATAAGCCATAAGAAAGACAGTAATAGAGGAATTACCATTTCGTCAATTTGTCAATAGAGGTTGTAAGAAGCATGAAGTCTTATCTTATTCGACAAGTTCAAGTAGCTGTAGCCTACGAAATTCTCTTAATTGATCGGAGAGTTAAACTTATAGTGGGAAGGAACGAGCCTCAATCAAAATAGCTACCGAATGCACGTAAGCTTTGAGATCTCGAACCCCGAAGGACGACTTCAAATCTGCAAACTTTAACCAATCCAGCTTAGGGAGCGTGTTTCTCCACAGCTTAAGTTTAAAGACTAAACATGCATATAAGATTGTACTCAACAAGCCAAGATGTGGTCGAGTCATTGGCAGATCTGTTTACTCAACAAGCTATTAGAAAGGTTGTAGTTGAGGAACATCCGTTTCAACAGTCGGATGACAAAAACCTACCAAATCTTAACTCACCCGATCTGATAAGTTCAACTAATCCAGATTGAAGTCTTCCCGACTGGTTAAGAGTCAACGTATTACCTACGTTTAGACTATTGATTAAACTTGAAACCAATAAATTCTTCAAGAAGTTCGTCAAAGCATAAATCAAATGATCGAAGAAATTATCTTAAAGTTTACATAAAGCTTAAGGCTGAATTAAGAGAATTTTTGTCATCAATAAGCCTGCTACTCACAAAGCTCAGGATCGATAATCTTTCGTCACCGACCTAGTATAAACTTAAAGGGTTTAGGTCACTGTCATATACTCCTTCGTCAAGCTCGTCAAAGCAAGAAGCAGAGGGTTGAAGGGACGCAAATCTCCTGACAAGTCAATAGGGACAAATCATGTAATCCTTCACCAATGTTCGTCGCACAAGGCATAGGGCAGGATCAATCAAAGCCTCACAACTCAAGCTAAAGCCATGAAAAGAATACAACTGCTGACTCTAACATGTGGCTAAAACTGTGAGCACAAAAACTATAGAAGTCACAAGAGCACAAAGAAAAGAAGAGCTCTTGAATATCCAAAAGCGAACAATGCTTGATTTTGTTAATTTAAAATTTTTATACAAATTTGAATTACATCTTTTTGTATGGTTACATCAGTCAAGAAAAAGGAAAAGGTACAATGTCCTTTACAAAGGACTGAAGTCTACCCTCTAAATCTATGCCTGAAGAGAAAATCAACAACCCCACTTTGTTTTTTTAAAGACCAGGTACTCTACACTTTTGGGATCTACACAAAGCAACAAAAGCATCAGTAGACTGAAAAGAGAAAGACTATGCAAGTGTATCTAAAGCTATAAAAGAAATGTGAACCTGAACTGAGGTCTCCTACAGTAGCTAACCAATTGGTGTCTCGTTCCTCCTTGGACTTGCATAGAGCAACAAGAGAACTAGTAAAACAACTAAAAAAGAAGTGCAAAAAAAAAAAAAGCATACCTGAGCTGAGGTCTCTTACAATGATTGGCTTGTTGATATCCTGATCATATGGAAATTGCACGAGCCATGAATCATTGTTGGTACGAATACAAAGTAAGAACTAAGAAGAAAGGATAAGATGGTGTACCTGGCCTGAAGGCAACTGTAGAAAATATGAGGTAGCGAAGTCTTGCTAGCTAGTGAACCTGCAAAGCTCGGGTAAATTCTAAATGAAATATGCAATTATATAATACAAATATTATATTTACATATGATTGCAATAAAGATAAATATTGAACATATGCAAAGATGCTAGAAACTAAAATAACAGTGGTGGTAGAAGAGAACAAGAGGTGGCAATGCTATCTACTAGCATCAATTTACAAAGTAATGCCCTAAGGATCCAAGTATGGTATAAAAGCTTTTAAGTTCTAGGATGGGAAAACCTTCAGAAGAAGAGTGTGCTTTTTAGGGGACAATAATGGATGGAAGGCTTAAAATTTAATTTGCATGAATGATGAAGATGAATTATGATATATCTGGTCAATGCATGTTATAAACTGAAGTAGTTAAATTATTTAGGTTATTTAATCATTATTTCTTTATACTTTCTTTAAGATAATTTATTTACCATTTTGCAATTGGAAATATTTGGAATCTTAAAAATTGATTATTTCATCGAACATGGAATATTATAGTTATCATTTTTTGAAAGTCCTCATAATTGAAATAGATTTATTTGGAGAAACCACTATTTTCTTTTCAGCACCTTTGCTTGGGCAAGTGTCTACTGTTTTTCCTATTGACTTGGATTTTGAGCAGCCATATCACCTTTAAGTTGCACTTTTGACAACATTTTTGTAGATTTAGGCTTCGTTTGGGACGACTTTCTTATTGCTTTTTAAAACAGCTTCCTAAAATTTTTGTACTATGAAGCTGCTTTAAGAAGCATAAAGAAAGCCCTCTCAAACGAAGCCTTAGTGGTTGTAGGAATGGTAAATAGCTAACATCTATGTTGACCTGTGGATTACTAAGGATGCTCTTGTTCATGAAATTAGTATTATAAGAAGCATGACTTGCATCATAACAACTTACCCAGGATACTCTTGAATTCTATTTTTCACCTGCAAAATGTGTATTGCTTAAGGATTTGATCCAAATATGACTGATTTTATTAATGTTTTTGTAAAGCCAATCGTGTGCCTCATTACTTCTATTCCAATCTACAGGTTCCTTCACTTCCTTTAGGGTACATGGCAAATTATTTGTCAGAGCTTACATTGGTCGAATATAGTTTTGTAAAGTTTGTTCCTTCTGTCATAGCTGCATCTGCTGTCTTCCTGGCCAGATGGACATTGGACCAGTCTGATCAGCCTTGGGTAGATGCATCCCGATCCACAATTGTTCTTTTTGATTATTTCATGAAAAAAAAAGGCTTAGGATATTTGACCAAAATTTTGGTGAGAATGGATCTCAAAGTAAATCCAACTTTGAGATGAGTGTAATGTAAATTTTAATTGGTTCATCATATATTACACTGATCTTAAGTTAGAACTATGGCTTTGAGATTCTACCTAACCCAAATTTTTTTTTCTTTCTTCTCTTTATCTTAATTGTTTTTCTTGCCGTTTGTTACAGAATTGCACTCTCCAGCATTACACCTCATACAAAGCTTTAGACCTTAAATCTGTAGTTCTCCAAATGCATTATTTGCAGCAGAATTCCTGTAACTCCCCCCTCAGCGCTGTCCGGGACAAGTACATTCAAGAGAAGGTATAGTACATTTCTCCCAACATTTTACTTGGTTTTTTCTCTTTTTTGGTAGTAAAAATACTTCTGAGGTTTGTCTGAACAAAATTTGATCATAATGAATTTAGAACCTTTGAAATTTACTATATTACACTCATATTAAAGAAAATTCTAGAATTTAGGCTTCGTTCGGGATGGTTTTCTTACTGCTTTTCAAAAAAGCTTTTTAGTATAAAAATTTATTTTAAGAAGCAGTAAGAAAGTCATCCCAAACGAAACCTTACTCTTTTGTCTTGTCTAAGCAAGTTCACATTGTTGCATTGTATATATTTTTCAATTTATGTCGTTATGGTTAGTCTTCTTGGTTTTGGCAGTATGAACGGGTGGCTTGTAGAGTTTCTCCAGAACTTCCAGACTCGCTATTCTTCTGATACTTTTTGGTTTGGTTTCTACCTATGAACTGAGGATTTCTAGAAAAATTATGGATGGAATAGCTTCTCTTTATTTTCTTAAATTTTAGTTAGTCTTTATTCTTTTGATCAACGGAGGTTGAAGTTGTTGCTGACCCAAATCAAAGCCTCATCCAAAGAGAGAGGCTTTGTAGCACAGATTACTGGTTAGCTCTCTTACTGCCAGTTAATGGCCAGCTATAGCTGTTTAAATTGTGCTTCTCTTCTCCACTTCTCATTGTATTTCATCCATGAATTTGCTTAAGATTACTTAAAAATTAGATCATTTTTTGACTTCAATCGATGAGCTGACTAATGAGTCATCTAAGATTTCGTTTGGGACAGCTTTCATACTGCTTCCTAAAATAATTTTCTAGTATATAATTTTCTAATTCAAAAAGCTTTTGTACTAGAAAGCTGGTTCAGAAAGCAACAAAAAGTTGTCCCAAACGAAGTTTAAGTTGGATTGAATTCTAATCTAAACAAGTCTAAATTGGATTGTGTTAGCTCAAGATATGATCGAAAAGTACATATCTATTTGTATGAAATGCGCGCGCGCGGACACACACATTATAGATGGAAATTTAATTGAGACCATATTGATTTTAGTTCGAAGAGCTAAACTTAAAATAAGATTTAGGCTCCGTTTGAGATAGTTTTCTTTCTGCTTTTTAAAATAATTTTTCATTACAAAAATTTTTTGAAGTAGAAAATTTTATGTTATAATTTTTTTTAGAAAGTTGTCTCAAATGAAATCTTAACTTGAATTAAGATAAGATGAAATGATTGAGCCAATCTTTAGTCAAATTTAGATTAAATAAAGACAAGTTATTAGCATAACAAATGACATTTAAGTACTAAGTGATTTATGAATGTCAAAATTTACATTGAGGGCAGTCTGTTTCAAAAGAAAAAAAAAATATTGTTTGCACTAAATTATGAATATATTTAGGAGTTTTGAAATGTGATACTCATTGAAAAATTGCATGCATTCCATTGTTGTTGTTGGTGAAAAGTTGTATATTAATTAATATGCACTAAGGATTTTGAGTTTGATTAATAGTAACCAAAATCATAAAGCTATTCCAAACACTTTCACTTATCGCTCGACTAAAATAGGAAATGCTAGGACTTTGTCTTGGTTCCTACGCCTTGAAATCTTTCTAAACTCTACAAAATTTTATCATCAACTTCAGATCATAAGTTCACTTTTCAAGTTGATCGTACATCATTATTTTCAGTCATTTATCCAAATAAAATTCACTTTTTAATGTGATCTTGTAAATAAGCCCAAATTAGTCATACTAACGAGCTAAGTTTGAGCTATACCTGACTTGACTTGTTGGCTTGCGAGTTGGCTCTTTTAAAAAGTATTAATATAAAATACACTTAAAATATAATAGTATTTAAATTTTTAAGTAAAAAATATTTAAATTTTTTAAAAATTACATCTTATTTTCTTAAATTAAATGATTATTTATATTATTATTCTTATTTTACTTTTCATTCTTTCTATCATTTTATTATAATAATCAATTGAATCATAATTATTTTATCTCTTTCAGAATAAACAAGTTAACTCGAACTTTTATAATAAAGCTCAAGCTCCAATTTGATCAGGGGCGGGGTGAAGGGGGATAATTGCCTCCCCCGCTAATAAAAAATTATATTTAAGAGTTTTAAATTTTATTCTAATTAATTAATAGATTTGTTGATATAAAAATATTATTAAAAAATTCATTTAAGATTCTATGCTTAAGGATAAATTATTTTTTAGTTCATTCATTTTACTGACCTTCGGTTTATTAAAAAGTTCTCTGTACTCTCCGCCTCTTATAAGTGAAATACAGTATATTTAGAATTAATTAATCACTTCTGAAACCATAATCAGACCACTAATTAAGTTCATTAATACTTAAACCTTATTCATTACAACTGTAGAATGGTTAATCTTCACATAACAAAGCTAATTACTACTGCTGCTTCTTCATCTGATCTTAATTACTTAATCACTAACTGCAATTTCTTAATAAAGTTCCTTTAAAACTTAAGCCTAATACAATACATCTGATCATTAATCTTAATTGCTAGCTACTGAAGTTCAGGATCTTAATTACTAACTGCAGTTTAAATGTTCAGCAAAACAGATAGATCGATAGCAGATTTGGCTCAATTACTCTTCTCCTCCTCCCCCGAATCAAGCAGATCCTCCAAAACCTTATCGTCCAAACACTCGAGCTCGATCACTTCCTTCTTCGTCTCATTTCTCGACGACGAGGCGGAGGCGTCTGCCGCATACAAATGCCGTTCGTCGGGGAAGTTCAGCACGGCGAGCGACCCGCGCATGGAGTAAGCAGCTCGGTCGTAAGCGCGGGCAGCTTCTTCAGCAGTACTGAAAGTTCCGAGCCAGACTCGAGCGCCGTGGCGAGACGAGTCGCGTATTTCGGCGGCGAATTTCCCCCACGGACGCCGCCGGACGCCGCGGTAGCGGGTTTCTTTGCCAGCGCTTTCGTCTCTCTCCATTGGCTTTGAGCTGTGGAAGGCGGCAACGGCTCCCTTGGTTTAAATTCGGTGAACGGGATGGAGTAAGATTCGGCACACGTGCGAAGGAAGGTAGTTGTTGTACGTGTAAGGAAGAGATGAGCTTTGGTTTAAATAGGGGGAAGGAGAAAAGGATTTTGATTCGGTGTATGTGGATGGGTCAAACCGGTGGCTTAGGCAACAAGGGGAATGTGCCTTTCTTGATTTTTTTTTTATTTTTATTATTATAAAATTCAAATCTTGTTTAAAATTAGGGTTTGTTCGGAACAATTTTCTGGACAATTTATTTTCCGACAACAATCATAATTTTATTTGGCTCTTTTGTTTTTGTTTTTAAAAAAGTTCTATGATGAAAAGCTGTTTTTTTATGATCATACTGATTACGGCTTCATTTGGGACGGCTTTTTTATTGCTTCTTAAAGTAGTTTCTTAGTACAAAATTAAAATTTTTGCACAAAAAAACTGCTTTAAGAAGCAGAAAGAAAGTCATCCCTAACAAAACGTAAGTTATTTTCCCTATAGCAATTTTACGACCAAACATTATAGTTTTTTTTTTTATTTTAATCCAAACATTATAGTTGTCTCAAAAAGATTCTTAATTTTTTAATAATTTTATTTATTTTGAGGTTAATTTAATATTTATATTCGTTTACTTTAATATAAATTTAATGATTTTAAATTTTATTTTTTAGTGGATTTTGATAGAGACATTTTTTTTAAATGAAAACTTTAAATAAAGGGTGGTGAATTAGACAACGTGCTTTTTTTAGCTACTTCATGTATTGATGAATTAAGGGGAGGATATGTGGTGTGGCGGGCTACCTCATTGCTGAGTTGTAGCGGGTCAATTTTATGGTGTAGCGACATAATTTAGGAATATTTTTTAGGGTAAAAATGTTGAAGATGACCTTATGCTTAGGTTCTAGATTTGTGTAGAACATTCCTCTTCGAAAGATATGGAAAGTTGATGATTTCATAAAGTTTTTTTATCTATAAAGAAATTTAGATGATATATAGATGCATAATTGTTTTATATTTAATGCATAAAGTTTATTATTTTTTAAGATTAGAAAAAAATTTCTTAATTTATCATGATATGATTTGTATTAAGAGGGACTTTAAAATTATTACATTTGCTTTGAGATTAGTGACTCATAGTAAGAATTTATATTATACTGATCTCAAAGCAGTCTAAATGATTCTCAAGTTCATTATACTAGTAATTGTCAATGCCATCACCCTATACTGACCATTCACTCAATCATCACATTTGTCATTCACTCACATCACAATTCCGCCCCCAATCATAAGAGACATCAGGTTTTTAACGTAGAAAATTCATGAAAGGGAAAAATCATAGGGTCTGACCCAGTTAAAATGAGTCCACTAATATTTGTCATTAATTACAAATGATGTTCTTCTTCGGCGAAGGCGTTAGCTTAATGTATCAAATATGTATCGTATAAAGAAAATTACATGATTGGGGTGGGAAGAATCTAATGACATGAGAGCTATTTTCAAGAGGACGTTGGCTTGTTCGTTTAGCCGGTAAAACCTTAGTGTCACAACTCAATCGGATAAGACCTACATATAAGACATGTCCTATTGTGTTTGCTTGCAACAGATAAACCTCAAGATTGAAGTTTTGGAAATTACTCTGAATTTTCTTTCAAATAAAATTTAAAACAAAAAACAAATCACAAAGTTATTAAAATCATCCAGTTTACTGAAAATAAACTCATCCATGCAATCTCTTTTCATCACATCATCAAAATATGAATGCAAAATTTACACTATAGTATATGGCTACATACTAGAGTACAAAGCAAAACATAAAATTTCTTGCCATAACAACATAAAAATTAAAAGAGAAAATACATATACAGACTCACGTGAAAACCTGAATTGCTACTTGACTTACTTTTTCCCTTTCCTCGACCCTAAAAATAGAAAAAAAAAAACATCAGTGACCTAGCACAACTCAGTAGACCACATTTAAGCTGATCTAAATTTTCAAATATTCATTTATTAAGCAATAGAATAAATCACTATGTATAATGGAATAATAATTGCATTTATATAACATTAAAAAATAATACTATGAAGTAAATAAACAAGCACTTTATATCTCAGAGTCACAATTAACGTACTTCATTCGTATAAGTCTCAATGCTCATCATCAGAACAAAATGTGTTATAACACAAAAACATGTCATACAGGCATCAGAACATGACTTATAGGCATTAAAACAAGATTTATAACTACAAGCACATATCTTATGTGCATCAAAATATGATTTATAGCTATCAAAATAGGCACCAGAGCAAGGCTTAAAGCCACCAGAATATGTCTTATAGACACAAGAATAACTTGCTTTTCAAAACCAAATCTCCTTAGAAATTTTTATTACAACAAATAAGGCATATAATTAATTGCATTGAAATAATTAAAACATAAATAAACTCGTTCTAAAATTTCACAAAATACTATAATGGTAGGCAACGAAAACCCTATTGAACACAAATCTATTATTTCAGATTTTAACTAAATCACCAAGAATTATATAAAAGTTTATTTTGAGACTTTAATTGTAATAAGATACTATTTTTTTTTGAGTTCAAGATTATTTTATGGGCAATTAAAATAGCTAGTGCACTTTTCAAAATACCCATTATAAAATTTTATAGAAAATATTTTAATGTTTATAACTAATTAATAGCTCTACTACATCTTTTTTGTAATGGAAATATAAATTAAGTAAAAGAATTAAAAAAATTTTAAATTTTGAAAATTGAGATAGGCAATGTGTGAACTATCTCGATCCTAATAACATTCAAAATTAAGATCGTCAGTTGAAAACGACCAGAAGTAGTCCAAAATAGACTCTCTCTAAGAATTTTCTCTTCTCTCTCTAGCATCGACTGCCCAATGGATTAACTAAATGAATAGTTAAAAAAAAAAAGATATCCATTAGAAAATATCAGCAACATACAATAATGTGGGGGTTTTCTATACAAGTTAGTATATTAGTCTATTTACTTTAAAAAGATTTAATTTCATGCTGCATTGCATTACTATGTATTTCATGATATTCTAGAGTTTCCGAGTTAGAAAGGAAGAAATTATGAAATTATTTATTTGGTCCCAAGGCGAAAATATTTTGTTTTAAATTATTCTGCTCCGCCTCTGAATTGATTATATGCTAGAAGTTCTGATTCTGCTTTGCACCTATCTTGAACAGGTGGAAGATAAAGATTTCGAGCTATGAGGGGCATAAGTACAAATGCATTTTGCATTCATATGTGCATATGAATACTTACAAGTTAAACAAGTTTTATAATGTTACTTCAGTTCATACTCATCTCGTTATTTATTACATTTCTTTGAGATTCGTGTTTGATCAAGGCAAATTTTTTTTTTTATGAATGAGTAAATTTTGTATTTTCTAACATATAAATTATTCCAAATTGACTTTAGAAAAATTTCAGGGTCAGTAAAACAAAAATTAAAGCTTCATATTAATATTATTTTAATCTTATATTTATTGAAAAGGCCGTTTCTGAAGATCTGTAGCATTTAATCTGCCCTTCAAAGGCTACCAATGATTATAATTTTATTTGAGTCAATGCAAATTTACAGAAGAAACCTTTTCAATAAATCAAGGAACATTTTTAATAACAGCAATGATTTTATTGCGTGCTTAAATTCAAAAACTAGATGAACTTTCTTATTCTAAAAATAAATTTTTTTTATATATAATTTTTTTTTTAGGAATTTTTTTGTATTAAAAAAACTATTTTATGAAATTGGAAATTATTAAATATGTGTAGAAAGTTATTAATTTTTTAAATAAACAAAATTATATGTTAGGCAAATAAAACTACCTCAAATAAATACTAAAATAATTATGTTGACTCGATTAAATTGTTTGATGCATATGTAATCATGTTTCAAATTTTAGCAATGTCCAATTGGGGGTGCAATGTAAGGTTTCGTTTGTGACGATTTTTTTACTACTTTCTGAAGCAGGTTTCTAATACAAAATTTTGTACTAAAAGCTGCTTTAGAAAGAAGTAAAAATTTGTTCCAAACTAAGCCTAAGTGAACCAATTAGACTTGCAAATTGACTTGAACTCAGCTTGTTAATGAGCTCATGAGTCGAGCTTATCAAATCATGATCTTGAGTTCAAATTATGGCCCGTATATTTTGTGCTTGATGAGACTTGGCTAGGTAGCTCACAATCTAACTCAATTAAAAAGGTAAATACTAGAAATTGTTAAATCACATTTCAACTCCGTTAAGTTAAATCCTGAAACTCACAAAATCTTCTTTTTCGAAAGTCATCAGTCCTGTCGATGTCTTGTCATTGTGAGCTCTCATTGCATCTTCCTCGTCATCTCATTATCAATTCCTTCTATAGTAACCTCTTGCCCCAACTTCCTTACCATCTTACTATCCAGTCGTCAATGTCTTCTCTAGCAAGCTCCCTCCATGACTTCATTAGTAGATTCCTTCTCTAGCGAACTCCTATCCTAGCTTCATGGCTTCTTAGTTGTCGAGTGTATTGAAAATTTGTGGAGGAATTCAAGTTCATGAGTTGAGTTGAGCCTTCACTTAGTCCAATAAGTTGAGCTCGGCTCAAGCTCGAGCTGAAATTTTAACTTAATTTGTCGCCCACCGACTATGATCTTTTCGACCTCCATCGTCTGTCGACTACAATCTTTCCGACCTTCGTCGCCCGCCAACTACAGTCCTCCCAACCTCCGTCACCCGTCGACTACGGTCCTTCTGACCTCCATCGTCTGCCATCCTTCCGACCCCCGTCACCCGCCGACTACGATCCTCCCGAACTCCGTCGCCCTACAACGGACCTTCGAACCAATGTCGCTCGCCAACTACGATCCTTCTAACCTTCGTCACTCGCCGACTACGATACTTTCGACCTCTGTCGCCATACAACGGTCTTTCCGACCTCTATCG